CCATCGCCTCTTCTCCCTTGTCTTGAGTATTCTATTGTGTTTTAGGATTAGAGCCATCGCCTCTTTTCTTTATTTTTTTGGTTTATTGTTTTACTTTAAAGTCTCTTTTAGCTTTCTTTCTTATTTTATTCTTTTCTTATTTGCAAACATATTTCTTAACTATCTTACATGTTAAGTCAAGTAGTATAGCTTTACTAAGACCCTGTATTGCTATATTGCAATATATAATTTATTATGCTGAACAAATTTTATATATAATTAAATTTAGTTTACTTAATAAAAAATTAAGTTTACTATATCACTAAAATTGAAAACACCATTTATATTAAAATTATATTAAAATTTGAAAAACTATACAAATTAAAAAATGCTAATTTTTTTTTAATTTTAATTATCTCAGAAACTACTGCATAAACTTTTTTTTATTTAAAAGCCTTAGATTTAAACTATTTTTTATATAATTTTTAGATTTATATTTTGCTTATTTAGCTTAATATAAATTGTTAAAAAGTGTCTATAATAATATAATATGCTTTATAAATGTTATTATAAAATTTTTTGACGCATTTTTTAGATTATTGGCTTTTTTTTAATTTAATTAAAATCAAAAATCTTAAATAAAATTAGATTAAATAAAATTAAGCATTATTATTGAGATTTTTGGAGCTATTTTTTTTAATTTTTATTATATTTTGATTTATTAATTCATTTTATAATTTCAATTATAAACTATGTGCTAATAATTTTTTCTTTTATTAGTTAGTAAAATACTTGAACATTACTATAATACGAAAAAAATATCCTTAATACTGCTCAAGACATTGCTCGACAACTTGGATTTGCCATAACAATCAAAAGTAGCAGACCTTGTTATTTTTAACTACAATGCAAATGTAGTAGTCAACCAAAAAATACATCAGATCTGACAGCTGATAAGTGTAAAAGAAAAAGAATAAGTAAGCACTGTAGATGTTTATACTTTTTGAAAGCTGTCCTAAATAATTCTTAATGGAAAGTTGTTAAAATATTCAATAAGCACAATCATTCTATAGCCAAAAATATAAAAGTTTTCTATGAATATTGTCAGTTAATGAATGAAGCAAGGTATACAGCTTTGCAAATGTTAAAAGTTGAGGCAAAGCCTGGTATAATTTACAAAGCTGTTAAAGATAAAGATGAAGCATCTACTGCAACAAGAAAATACATTTCTAATTTGGGTTTGTGAATTAATTTATTAAAAGAAATTTTTTGAATGAAGAACTAATAAAAGGCATGAAGGTTCGAGGATATATTGTATTTCGCAAAAATCATAAAAGAAAGTATTTTATTAATTTTATATTGTTTAATTATTATAAATTCATATTCAGTATTGTTTTATTGTTTTATTAATCTATCATTATAATACTAATTTAATTTATTTATATCAAAATACTCAATCGCCAAATCTTCAAACTGGGATTGGTTGGATCTTAGAAAATAACACCAAAATTAAATTCTCTGCTAATATTACAAATGCTTCCAATACCACAAGAGCTGAACTAGCACCAATTATATTTATACTTCTTTCTTTATTACAAAATCTACATATATATATTCATTGTGATAATTCTTCCACAATTCAAATTCTTAAAAACTTACCTTACTACTATTCTACACAAATCAAAACTAAAAACTGAGATTATCTACATATTATTAACAAACTCCTTCAAAAGAAAAATATTTCTCTTACTATTCATAAAGTTAAAGCACACTTTAAAAATGCTTTAAATCGAAATGCTGATATTCTTGCAAAAAGAGATACAAACAGACGATCTATTGAACTTAACTTAGATCACCTTATAACACTTTCTTTTTTTTTATAGTATAATACTCCACTTACCTCACAAATCTGCAAATTCACAAAAAATTTAACCTTTATTGAAACCTTTAACAAATTTCTTCAACTCAAAAACATTCATAATATTCCTCAATTTAATATTAAAACTTTTACAATTATTACTAATTCCTGTAATTACAAACTCAACCTATTTTCTCTACATATTAAAATAATATTAAACAACCTACCTACAATGTTGAACCTTCACCTTTATTACCCTCATATTTACTTAACTCCTAATTGTTCTAGATGCAACCAATTTGAAGACACTTTACACCTATTAAACTGTCACCAAGCACCTTTTGATCTATATAAAATACTTAACCAATATATAATCTAAACAATAACTGAACTTAAAATTGAAAATACAAACTCAGCAACAATTACAAATATAGTACTTAACTCAAATACTTAAAACACACCTTCTCAAAACTTCCTCTTCCTTATGCAAAAAACAATCCCTTTTTGTATTATTGATCAACTACAATCTATCTTTACTAAAAATACTACCAACTTTTGCCTTTATCTCTCTAATAATCTCCTTTTATAGTTCAACTTAAACATTTAGCAAATTAGAAACCAATTTCAACATGACTGAGAAACTTCAAGAAATATCACATCTAAATCCAAACGAATTAAATTTTCTTTACCAAATACTATTACTAGAACCTCTGCAACAACAATCTATAATTACAATATTGACTCATTTATTCAAAAATGACAAAATCAAAACTTTTCTATTTTTTCATGTTTTTATTAACTCTTATACTTTAACTACTGGGCTTCCTCTTTCCCCTCTATAACTAATGGTAGCTAGTCTTAAATTAGTTTATAAATAGAAAATTAAGAGGTGTTTTGCTACACTTAAGTAGTTATACAAGATATAATAGATAGTTTAAAATTAATATCATCTTGATACAAATCTATAACTAATCTTATCATATATACAACAAATTTAAAATAAAAAAAAAAATTTTATTTACATTGATAATCATATAAAGTATCTGTTTTTTTGCTATTATAATTCAATTAAAAGTGTAATAAGGTTTCTGGAAGTAGTTTTAATTGATGCTACTTACAATATGAATGAATATAAATTATCATTTGTAAATTTTATTAGCATTGGTAATCTTGGGGTAAACAGACTGCAAACTTTTGGCATCGCTGGTGCTTAGGTTTTAGATAAATCTGAGAAATTGTACATTTGGGTTATAGAGCAGCTTGCATTACTTATATTCTTTGATATTTTTCTATATGTGTTTATTATGGATAATAATGCTGAGCTTACTGGTGCATTTAGAAGAATTTTTCTAGAGACAAAAATATTTTGTACACCTAGCACGTTTTAAATATTTTTAAAAAGAACTTAAAAAAATATTTTGTTGATGATTCATTAGATAAAATTATTAAAACTGTAGATTTTATTATTAATGTAAGAGACTATGAGATGTTAAATTCAGCAATTGCAAACTATCAGAAACTAGCTTTATTAAGTATAAATATGAATAAGGTTATAAAATATTATAATATTACTTTTTATTTGAATCATTTATTTATTTATTTATTTACGACTAATTGACGCAAATCACTAACTCTTCCCGACAATCACTTGTACCAAATTTTTCTTAAAAACAATTGCTATTTTCTCAAAATTTTA